TCTCCCCTGCCCTCCCACCCCTCCGTCCTGTTCCTTCATTCCTGCCATCAGCACCTAACCCCTTGCCTGCTGTCACGCCCCGGTGAGCCCCTGGCATGTGCTGTTCCAGTACTGGGCGTGAACTAGCTTACTCCCCAGTGAGCATGACTAATGGGATGGGGGCGGTGGGGAAGGGGGAGAAGCCAGCACACAGCGGGGCTGGAAGGGGCAGGTGGGTTGGACTTTCCTGAGGCTGCGCACCTGGCAGGGATTTCTGCATCCCCAGACCTTGCAGTTCAGGTTGACTGTGGAAAGGCTCAGGTCCCAGGCTGGCTCTCGATACAGCCCAGCCGCCTTGGGGGCTCAGAAGGTTCTGCCCATGTTGGGCTGCAGAAGGGACGAGCTCCCAGCTGTCCCAGGAGCTGATGATGGCCCTCTGCTTCCTGCAGGAGAAGGGGCGTAGGGAGTCCGAAGGCCCCAAGAGCCGCAGAAGGCCCGGCGGCCGGTCTCCCACTAGTGCTGAGAAGCACATGAGCTTTGAGTCCACCTCTTCGCTGCCAGAGGTGAGTGGCCGGCAGGCAGAAGGGGGACGGTGCGGGAATGCTCGGAGCGCCTGGTCCGCAGGTGGGGCTTCCAGGCACGGGCTCTCCTGTTGGGCCCGTGGGGACAGATTCCCTCCTCCACGCCCCAGGACTCTTTGCCCCTTTAGGAAGCCTGTCTGGCCTGTGAGCGTGTGGTAGTGTGAGTGGGCAGCTCCTTTCTTTGGGCAGGTGCAGACTCTCGTCAAGGGCCATATTCGTGGAAGTGACCAGATTTTAGGTCCCTTCAGCCAGGCCTCCTGGTATAGGGCGTAAGGCCCTGCCCCTGCCAGCATGCCAGACATTTAAGTCACACCTGTGCCCACCTGGGTATTGATATCTACTGGGCACTTCCTGCTTGTCCGATGTTTTGTTTCTTCCTTCTGTTGCCTGCAACAGCTCAGGTAGAAAGAGGCTGAGAGAAGTTGAGTGACTTGCCTGACATCGGGCAGCTGCCGAGGGGCAGAGCTGAGGTCAGAACCTGTGACTCAGAAGCCCCCCTTCCACTTCCTGGCACACAGGCCTAAACCATGGGTCCTGCTTTGCAGACTTGGGACTAGAACCATTGGAATCGGGTCTGATTCCTTAGAATGTAGCATGTTTGCTCTTTTTCCCGAAGGTCCCTGTGGAAGGCTGCCTGTACTGGCTGGTTTCGTGGTTCAGATCACCTTCAAGGTGGTCAGGAGGAAGTTCTTGAATTCGCTTCCTTCCTTGCCTGTCTGCTGGGCATCTGCAGAGTTGTGCATAGGGCCAGAGGCTGGCTGGTAGGAGCCAGATGCCGGTCTTCACCCTCTGACAGGACTCTAGCATGGGGTCCTGTTGCGCTGTGGATCCTCATCCACACAGGAGGTCCTTACCCCTCAGGGAAGGTGGGTCTGAACCCAGAACAACCCCCATGTGGCCTCTAGGGCCTTAGGGAGCTGCCTCTCCATCAGGCATACCCTGTGTTGTATGCTCCCACCTTGTCCCTCAGGCTCCCAGGCAGGCTGCCACTGAGAGGTGCCAACACCACCCAATATGTGTTCTTAGAATTGTCCTTGGGTTTTACGACCCAAGCCCCCTCGCTGCATGATCGCTGGGGGTCATCACCACATTCCTCTCTCTAAGGACCTGTTTCCCCACTCGAGTTGTGCTCATTCTCATTGCCTTTGGTCCTAAACTGCATGCCCTCTCACTGAACCGAGAGAGCAGGTCATGCTGTCTGCTTATCCTTTGGATCTCATGAGGGAGGGTCTTGGCTCACATGAGTTCTGTTATCCCAGGTTGAGCCAGGCCCTGAGCCTGAGACAGAGCAGGAAGTATTTGCTGCTGTGGAAGGTGCCAGCATCGAGGAGGTGCCCTCAGACATGGAGTCTCCAGAAGTCCTGGAAACACAGCTTGATGCCCACCAGGAGCTGCTGGGGATGGCCCCCCCGGGTGACATGGTGGACTTTGTGGTGGCCGAGAGCACCGAGGACCTTAAGACTCTGAGCAGTGAGGAGGAGGAGGAGGAGGAGGAGGAGGACGTGGGTGCCACGCAGGAGCCTGAGAGCCTCCTGCCGCCCTCCGTGCTGGACCAGGCCAGCATCATTGCCGAGCGGTTCGTCAGCAGCTTCTCTCGGCGGAGCAGCCTGGCCCTGGAGGATGGCAAGGCCAGTGGCTTTGGGAGCCCGAGGCTGACAAGCCGGAGCAGCAGCGTGCTCAGCCTAGAGGGCAGCGAGAAGGGCTCGGCCCGGCGTGGCAGCACCACCGACGCCCTCGGCTCGCAGCCGCCCCCAGAGGTGGACAGCGGTGTGGGCGTGGCCACAGAGAGCAGCCCTTCGGTCAACGGGACGGAGCCCCCGAGCCCAGGCTGCCCTGCAGAGCCCGACAGGTCTTCCTGTAAGAAGAAGGAATCGTCACTCTCCACCCGAGACCGGCTGTTGCTGGACAAGATCAAGAGCTACTATGAGAACGCGGAGCACCATGATGCGGGCTTTAGCATCCGGCGCCGAGAGAGCCTCTCCTACATCCCCAAAGGGCTGGTGAGGAACTCCGTTTCCAGATTCAACAGCCTTCCCAGGCCGGACCCAGAGCCCACGGCTCCGCTGGGGCACAGGAGGCAGGTGAGCTCCCGGCCGGCTTCGTGGGCTATGTTTGACCTCCCAGGCCCCGGCCAGGCGAGCGCTGGGGAGCCAGCTCCTATCACAGATGCTGAGTTCAGGCCGTCTTCAGAAATTGTAAAGATCTGGGAGGGAATGGAGTCTACCGGGGAGAGCTCTCACAAGGGGCCTGGCCAAGGCCAGGCCAATGGTTTTGACCTGCATGAACCGCTCTTCATCCTGGAGGAGCACGAACTGGGGGCCATCACCGAGGAGTCGGCCGCCGCCTCCCCTGAGAGTGCCTCCCCCACGGAGCGGCCCAGCCCGGCCCACCTGGCCCGGGAGCTGAAGGAGCTCGTGAAGGAGCTGAGTGGCGACGTCCAGGGGGAGCTGGTGGCTCCACTGCACCCGCGCATCGTCCAGCTCTCCCACGTGATGGATGGCCGCGTGAGCGAGCGAGTCAAGAACAAGGTCTACCAGCTGGCCCGCCAGTACAGCCTGCGGATCAAGAGCAAATCTGTGCCAGCCAGGCCACCGCTCCAATGGGGAAAGGCGGCTCCCACCATTCCCTGCCTGCAGGAGGAGGCTGGAGCACCCTCGGGCGGCAAAGGTACAGTGAGGGGGTGGGGAGTGGGCCCTTCCCGAAAGTCTGGGGTGGAAGAGCTTCTGGGGAGCAGGTTGGCTCCTGGAGGAAGGTGACCCTGTAGAACCATGACCAAAGAGAGGGCTGGACTCCACACGCAGGGCGGTGCGTGGCCCTGCTGTAACACCCTCACCGCCCTCCCCCGGCCCTTCCTGTGGAGCAGAGACCTCGGGGAAACGTGGCCATGGGCCCACTCTTCCAGGGGAGGAAGCTCTCGTCTTTTCCTGTGACTCCTGACCCCACGTCCAACTGCCTTTTCCTCATTCTTCCCATTGCCCTCCGATAAAGGGGCCGTGGATGGTGAATGTGACTTCTCTGCCATCACAACCCAAACCCCAGTAAGCAGCCTTGCCTGGAGTGGGAGCAGAAGGCAGTTCTGAGTCCTCACTTGCCCTCTCCCCTCCTGCCCAGTGGGTCAGTCAGCTCACTCTCTCCCCACAGGTAAGAGAAAGCCGGTGCTGTCCCTCCTCAACGATGAGCAGACGGTGGCCCCGGAGCACAGCCCGCCCAAGCCCTGCTCTCCTCGGCATTGCTCCTTCAGCCCCACTGCTGCCAGCCCGAGGACCACCTCGCCTGGGGTCCGGCCCTCCTCTCGAAGCCCCCTCAGCCCTTTCGACACTGAGACCTTCAACTGGCCTGATGTCCGAGAGCTCTGCTCCAAGTACACCTCCCACGACGAGGCATTCCAGGCCGAGGGCGGCCGGCCCCGTGGCCAGCCTGTCAACCGGAGCCGCTCGGTGCCGGAGAACATGGTGGAGCCCCCTCTGGCGGGCAAGGTGGGCCGCTGCTGCAGCGTGGGCGCCAAGAGGGGCCGGGCAGACCCAGAGGCCACTCAGCCCCAGCCGCCTGGGGGATTGGCCCAAAGCAGGCCAGTCGGAGAGGAAGCCCTGTATGTCACCGCAGACCTCACCCTGGAGAACAACGGGCGGGTGATCGTCATGGAGAAGGGGCCTCTGCCCTGCCCCACTGCGGGGCTGGAGGAGGGCAGTGGGCAGAGACCAAGCTCACCAGCAGCCGCGGTGGGACAGGGGCTGGATTTCCAGGAGTCTGGGATTTCCAGGAGTCCAGATTATTGGCCAAAGGAAGAGGGTCCCAGGGACCCAGTGGACCCAGGCCAGCAGGGCAGAGTGAGAAACCTGAGGGAGAAATTCCAGGCCTTGAACTCTGTAGGGTGATTCTGAGTCCAAGGAGAGGGAGGAGCCGTGTGGCTGCGGGGGGGACGGGGAGGGACCACGGCAGGCTTGCCCTCAGGCCTGGCTCACCCTGCTCACGAGGGCCCCTGGAAGAATGCTCCGGTGTACCCGGCAAGTGTCTTCACTGGGAACCGGCTGGTGCACCCCTGGGCTCGGGGCGACTTTCCACAGGCCCAGTTGAGCCTTTCTTCCCACCGAGGCCAGTGTGACCACTTCCCTTGTATATAGTTCTTTGGTGAGAAGCTGAATATTTAAGCTCTCCTCTTCCCAGGGAGAGCAAGTCGTGCTCAGGCCTCCAGTGTTGGGCTGACCACTGCCGGGCTGAGGCGCCCACCCGGAGGAGTCGTGGGGAGGTGGCCTGGGGAGGCTTTCCTCTTTGTGTCTTTTCTTAGGATCCAGGCAGGAACCAGGCCCATAATTTATTGCTTCCCATTCCGCGGTATATTTGTGTGTGCACGTGAGAGTTTGTGTGTGTTCTTTTGTTGTGGATTCCTCTCCCGTGAAGAATGTAACGCGCTCAGTTCAGGTACTTTTGTAGGTTGTCTTGCTGATCCTGTGGTTGTCACTAATGTATATACATTTCATTATTTGCCAATGGTTCAATAACCACTGCTGACCAACTGGCCTGTGTGTGGCTCCTCACTGGGCCTCACTGGGGTGGGGACGGTTGATCAAGGCCAGGGATGTCTTAGGGAGGCGGGCTGCGGGGGTTGTTGCTGTCACAGTCACTCATTCGTCATCTGTGCTCACAAAGCATAAGGCACCAGGGTGCTCGCCGGGGAGGCTGGGGCAGCAGCATGTGCAGGAGGGAACTTGTTTTCTGTCTACCCCAGCCTGGCATCCTGTCGGTGGCGGGAGTTGGGGGTGGAGGGACCAGGCCAGGTTTTAGCTTCCTCAAGGACCAAAGTTCGACTAAACAAGGTGGGGGAAATGAATGGAACGTTTTTCTAACAGGCGGAAGTTTCCAACGTCTGGTGCCCTTTACTCTTCTCTCCCTCTCTAGTTCCCAAGAGACATCCTAAAAGGCAAGGATTCTAAACTTGGAGCCTAGACATGTCTTGAGGTGGCCTGCAATATTGTGTAAAGAGAGCAAGTGCATTTTTTCTGGGATGGAACCTCAGTTTTCATCCCGTTCTCAAAGGGTCTTTTCTTTCTTGAAAGGGCTAGGAATGCCTGCCTGTTTCTAATTGGGCTTTCTTTCTGCCCTTTCTCTGTGGCGCACCAGCCTTGTTTGGCCCTGTTCCTGCAGGCGTGTGTTCCCACAGGTCTTGTGGGTCAGGGCTTCGTGAGCTTCTGATCTCAGAGGACAGACTCGGCCTGAAGGCAGGTGTGCAGAGTCTAAAGAGGCCAAGGGAAGAGTGGAGGCCAGGGGAGGCCTCTCCGAAGCAGCAGCAGACAGGGCTAGCCTGTGTTCTGTGTTCTACCCATTGTCCTGAATGTTATGCGGTTTCCACAGTTGCTGAGGATAGAGGCGTGTGTTGGGGTATGACGCTCAGTAGCTATAAATTTACTGGAGTGAGAGGACGCCCAGGTTCTGGTCCCAACCTCTTGCCATTAACTAGCTGGGTCACCTGAAACTCTTGCTTTTTCCTTATCTACAAATCGAAGGAAATGGATGATTTACAGCTTGTCAAACTCCCTCAGACTTTTCAGGGGGTAGGGTCTGGGAAGTTGCAGTGAGCACCTTCCCCAGGTGATCCGTAACCATCTAGGCGTGATGGTGAGCCCTGAACCAGCTCACTGGTTCTCACTACCAGTGAGAATGGTCAGTGGAGCCTTTTGAAAAATGGCGATGCCTGTTTCGCCCCTCTGGAGATGTGAGGGCCACATCTCCTCCCTCATGTGAGGGCTAAGTGAGGGCCAAGATCTCTGTCCAGAGCTCTGTGGGGGAAAGGCTTGCCGAACGCATGAATGAGCAAGCGCTCTCGGTCTCAGGCAAGGCACAGCTCCTGGGTGGTGGCCTAGGATTTTCCAGGGACAATCCAGAGAATCTGTCCCTTTGTCTCCATTGGTGATACCCCCTCGCTCAACTACCCCTCCTTGGTCCAGTTCAGAGGGAAACAAAACCAGTCAAATCAGTGAGAAAGATGGAGCATTATTGATTTATTAGAAAAACTAGTAAATGGGTTTTCTCTGGTTGGTGGAAGCACATTTGAGCAGGTGGAGGACAAGGCCCCGCTGGCCCCAGGGCCAGCCCCAGATCGCGTGGTCTGTGCCCAACAGGGCTGCAGTCGTGTGTAGCTGCCTCCTCCTCCCTTGTGTCCTCCCTGAGCTTGCTTGTCCAAAGGACCAAGTCATATGGTCCTGGATCCCTGTCTGCTCCCACTAAAGGGAGGGGAGAGAGATCCAGGACCAACCTCGGGGACCCTGGTTGCCCTCCAATAGGCAGGAAAGAGAAATGGTGTGGTGGGGACGCTGGGCCTTCCACAAGCTTCCTGTTACTGGTGCTAGTTGTGGGGGCTGGGGGGAGGCCTGAGGACCCTCCATACGCCCCTCAGCCAATCAGTTCAGGCAGGGGGTGAAGGGGAAAGAGAGAGGGAAGGAGGACTGCCTGACCATGCCCAGAAGGAGCTTCGTGTAAGCTGCCCTGGGGAGGAAGCCTGTTATGCTGGTGTGGACGGGAGCTGTGTCAACCTAGTTTGGGAATACCGTTAAAAGAGTGCAAAGTAGAAAATGGAAGGAGGGGAAAAAGAAACCTTGCCAGGGCACCAGGAGCTTAGCCCCAGGTGGCACAGTCTCCCAAAGCTGGGCTCCTGTAGGCTCAGTCCTGTTGGTTGAGTGCCTCGGGGGCTTGCGTGATGGGAGAGGGATGTGTGGGGAGCTGGCAATAGAGGGGCCACATGCAGCTGGCTGCCAGTCTGGGGGACCCGGGGTGGTGAAATCCTACCTCTTCCTTTGGGATCCTTCCATTCTTTGGACTATGGAGTCACTTGCTGGAAATGTCTCACCTCAGTTGCAGCTTTGGCACACATGGAGGGGACAGGGTGGTCCTTGGTCTCCCTAAAGATTGGCCCAGGGAGAGGAGGAAGATTCTTGCCACTATCTGCCTTGGAGCAGGACATGCCCTCAGATGCACTAGAGGCCTTCTTCATCACCAGTTGAGTATGGTCACCTCACTGCCTCCTGCCTTGGTTTCCCCAGATGGAGAAAGAGGCTGGTGAATGGTATATACTAGCTTTCCTGTAGATGCAAAGAGGGATGCAGGATTAGATGCAGAGAGGCCAAGTGAAGACCCTGGCTCTAAAGGTGGGGCCACCTGATCTAGGGGTGCTGGGCTCTATTGGAGAACTTCCCTCCTGTTCTTGTCTGCTGAAGTTAGCTTCCCCTTGGCAGGGTGGTATTGATCTCTAAGCTGTGCCTGCACTAGGGGCTCCTGGGAAGGCCTAGTGACTCTGGATGCCTACCCTTGGAGTTGCTACATGGGCCTCACTCACATCCAGAGGAATCATCTGGGTGTGTCTAAGCCTCCTCATGGGGAAGGTAATGGAACAGCAGCCCCTGGGACTTTTATGGTCTCTTCAGGGGTAGTGGTGCCCCCAGCATGACCCCTCTTTTGGACCTAACCCCAGTCCGGACGCTGGGCTGGCACTGTATTGCTTTCAGGGTGCTGGAGGAGATCCTTGTTGGAACGAGTGCCCTCTTCCCTCCAGAAGTCTGACCTTAACAGCATGGGGAAGGCTATCCTTGGACAAATAGGTTGTTGCAGGCCTCCTTTAGGCTATGCTTTGGGAAGGGGGGAGGGGTGTTGGACGTTGGGTGACCTCTGCACCCATGTGACTTTCCCACGACCCAAGGCCAGGACCTTCAGGAGAAGCGGAGCAAGGGGTGCCATACCCTCAGGGCCCAAACCCAGCATTTGTCCCAGCTGTCCAGGGGTTGTGTTATATGGGAGGTAATACCCAGGTATGGTTCCTTTTGCCACCCCAGAGTGACAGGTCATGAACTTTGCTGTCCGTCCAGCCAGCACCCTCAGATGGTACCAGCTGCAGACAGGACACACTGGGCATTGGGCTTTGGGCTGCTTTGCTGTAGGTGCTGGGGCATTTTTCTTGTATCTAGGAATCTGTACTGTCTCCCTGAGGGGCCCTGGGGCTGAATCGTACTGTGCTGGTTTGGTGGGGAGGTGGGGAGGGTCCTAGAGTGGAGAGGCAGAGCCCTGGGCAGTGTCCAGGTCTGTCTGTCTCCTTCACCTCTGAGCCTTACGCTGCTCTGTTGTTTTAAGAAGACCAGCTTGAGAGCTTTTACCTCCCTTTTACCACCTGTGGTGGTAGCAGAGGGCACCGGAGGCAGTCTGAGGCCCTTGCATATAAGACCCACCAACCTTGGACTGCACCGTTTTTTTGTTTGTTTTGGTGAGAGAAAGAAGAGGGAAGGGATCAGGTGGCCCTTGAAGTGAGAGGCCCAGTTCTGAGGAAGCCCAGTGGGGAGGAGGCCCATTGTGTCCTCTGGGTCCCCAGGGGCCCCTTGCCTAGAGCTAGAGCCCTGTGTGGTTACCTGAAGCTCCTTCCTCATGCCCCTAAGGGGCAGGTCAGGCGTTTCCAGTGTCCTCTTCTCTTTCCCTGGCTGTGACCAAAGGGGAGGTGGCCCCAAGCAAGATCTGCTTTGGGAGTGGGCAGCGTCTGAGGAACCTCTTCTCTCTTTTCCAGCTTTTATGGGGCTTGGGGGTTGGAGGGCCCTCATACTGGAGGAGGGGTGTGGGAGAGGAAGGCCTGTGCCTGGGAAACCATTTCCTGCCACAGGGGTCCCTGGCCTTCCCCCCGGACCGGGACTGCACGAAGGCGGAGGCAGGCGTCAGCCGGAGGGCGGAGGCAGGGATCGCGGCACAGCGGGCCCAGGCCACCGGATCGCAGGCGCAGGCAGGCGCAGGCAGCGGGTGGCCCGGGCGGTGGGCTGCGGGGAGGACCGGCCCGGGCTGAGGCCCGAGGCCCCAGGCGCCCCGCCAGTCCCTGCACAGCTCTGTCCTGCTGGCGGGGCTCCAGAGAGGCTACTTCTTTTTGGGGAAGAAGCTGAATCTCTTCTCCTTGTCTTTCTTGCCAAGGCTGGCGTCGGGGCCGGTGATGGAGGGCAGGGGCAAGCTCTGGGCCTTCACGCGGATGCTCTGGGATTCGTTGATGGCGGTGCTCACGCCCTGCAGCCAGGACAGCATCTCCTCCTGCAACGCAGAAGGGTCATGGGCCACAAAGGAGGGGGCTGCCCCTGGGACTTCTGAGGGAGCCACCTGCTGCTTTGTCAGCAAGAGTCTGGGCTAGGCTGCCCTGTACTTACCTCATCCTTGCCATGGAAGAGCCACTCGCTGCCATTGCTCAGCCTAGGACAAAAAAAGGTTTCCTGCCTTGTGGCCACCTCTGCCTGGACAGAGGGCTGGCTCACCCCACAGACCCAAGCCTCCCCCTGACCACAACCCTCAGAGGCAGGTAAAAATCTGGACCATCAGCCTCTTTGATTTGAAAAATGCTAGGCCTGGAGCTGGTCTCCCACAGGAGCCCCTGTCCAGCCACTGATGCCAAACTAAGCCTGCAGGGAATGGGCACGGGCCAGGAGGGCCTCACCTCAGCTTGAAGACATGCTTCTTCTTCTTATAGTTGGCAGCAATCTCACAGATGGCGTGTCTCAGGGCCAGGGGTTCCTCCCCATGGTAGGGCACCCCCAGGGCCAGGTTCTTGGCGTCCTTGTAGAAGGTCAGTTCGCTGTTCCGGAGAACACAGTACAGGTTGTTCCAGGACCTGTGGAAACAGGCAGGCAGGGCCCCCACGGTCCGGTTATGACAGCTCTGTAATGAATTCTAGCTTTACCATTTTGTAAAAAATTAGTATACTAGGGGCGCCTGGGTGGCTCATTTCTTTGGGCATCTGACTCTTGGTTTTGGCTCAGGGCATGATCTCGCGGTTTCATGGGTTCGAGCCCCACATCAGGCTCTGTGCTGGCGGCAGAGACTGCTTGGGATTCTCTCTCTCCCCCTCTCTACTCCTCCCCCACTCCTGCTGTCTCAATCTCTCTCAAAATAAACTTACAAAAAAAATAGTAACACATTTTATGGTTAAGAAAGGAAATAAAAATCATCTGCCTGTAATTCCACCATCAAAAGCTACTGTTAACATTTTACATATTCTAGTCTTTTCTATTCACACATTCACATTTTCTTCTATTCACATATATAATGAAAATTGGGTTATACTGAATATTTAATTTCATATCCTTTTATTTATATCCTTTTAAGATTATCACTATATCATGAGTGTTTTCCCATATCCTTCAAATCTTTCCCCAAAATAATTTTGAATTGCTATCTGGTATCCCACCATATATACAAATAATCCCTTTATTGGTGGGCCTTGTAATTACTGGAAATTCAAACAGTGCAGTTTAAACAGCAATGGGATAAATATTCATGCATAAATGTTTGCTATAGCTCTGATCTTACCTCGAGATAAATTTCTAAAAGTAGAATTATTGAGTCTAAGACCAATAGTGTAAACTTAACCTTGCAAAGCACTTGAGCATCCATTAGCATGTTTGATCCTTACCACACAACTGTGAAGTGAACAGAGCAGGGTTTTGTCGATGGAAATATGCACGGTATACTGCACCAGCACTTTTTAAAGATACATACTTGTGCAAATCAAGACTCAGCTGATGTTTGGGAGATGAGCTCATAAGCTAATGTGTGGGCTGACCTGAGCTCCTTGACTGGCCAATGGGAAACAGGTTGCCTTTTTACCTCTCACAGTAATGAATGCTGGGAAACATTAAGCTTTTCTTACTCCTCCTCCTTTCTTCCCCCCCCCCCCCCCCCCCCCCCCCCCCCCCCCCCCCCCACTGCCTCCCCCAACCCCCATTGCTCTCTTTCTCCTCCCTCCCTTTGGAAAGCAGGAAGGTGAAGAATTTTGGGGCACATGGGGAAGAAGGACTGCAAGTTCAGAGAGAGAACTTGACCTGTACTGTACAAGCTGGCTGCAGAGCCATTTTTACAGAGCCCAGCTTTCTGACACCCAGAGGGAGATCCTCCAGGAAGGGTCAGGGACCTTTCCTCTAGCCCTCACCACCTTCCTTGAGCTTGTAGCCCAAGTAAGGCAGTTGCTGAGAAGGAGCTGGGTCTTATCCTGCCTTAAACAAATGACTTCTCTGAAATTCTGTTTTTCTATCTGGAAAATAGAATCTTCAATAGCACAGAGCAGTTGTGAAGATTTTAGCATGGTAGGTGCTCAGTCAATGCTAGTTTCTCCTTTTCTGGTGGACTCTGTATAAACAATAGACTTCTTCAGGGTGGTTGGTCCCCCAAATTCATTTTTGAAATTTGAATTAGTTTTTTAGCCTGTCTCCCCAGTACGGGCTCTGTATGCAGCCCTGGAGCCCTGGGAATGTGGCTGCTTCAACCTCTCAAAGCTGTCCTGTGTCCCTGGGACCCTGGAAAGCTCCCCAAAAAACAGAGGCCCCCAGGGACCTTGGGTAGAAGCAGCTCTGGACAGACCAAATTCAAGGACATAACTGCCTCAGGGCCAGGAAAGGGCACAGCCTTCGAATGAGTTCCTCAGGGTCACAGAATTGCTGTATGACAGCACTGGGAGGGACCTCCAGAAGGCATGTATGCCAACCCCATTCTTCCTATTTTACAGCAGGGGAAACTGAGGCCCAGATTTGTTAAAAAGTGGGACTTGGTCAAGGATATGTTGTTACTGCCAAGACGTACCTACCTGTTACCCAGCCCTGGATTAAGAAAAACTAGTATTATTGAGAACCTACTCTGTGTCAGGCTCAGTATCTGTACCCAAGAGGCATGCTATCATCATCGTTATCCCTGTTTTGCAAACGGGGAAACGAAGGCTGAGTAACTTGTACGAGGGTGTAGGATTTGAACTCAGGACTGGAACTGAAGATAGGCTTTTCCCATCGTGCCAAGTAGCCCCTAGGCTGGCCCAAAGGGGTGCTCAGACCAGAGACAAAGGGCACCCTCTCTCCCAACACATACCCATGCTGCTGAGGCTCTGTTGGTGGAGAAGTCCTTGGGAGCCGCCCTCCCTACCAGCAGGTGGCCCCTGCCTCACATACCTGTTGGATGCCTTCTTATTGGGCCCCTCCAGGTCATGCTTTCGGCCCAGGTAGCCCTCCATCTGCACACTGTACCCGTGGTCCCGCTGGGCTGGCAGCGTTGTAGGTTCGTCACCCTCGCTCAGAGGCGTGTCCAGGACTTTATAGAGAGGCTCGGTGGTGGGCCTCTCATCCCCACTGGATTTCTCCTCCTGTGGCCCTGGAGGGGGTGGTGGCTGCAGGTCCTGAGGCCACTGCCTCTCTTCTTCCCCCTGCTCAGGGTCATATGGGAGGAGCACACCTTGCTGGGGGTTCAGACCCAGGGGTGGCTACTCAGCAGGATTGGGAAGTCTGAGGTCCCCTCCTGACCTTGCTTCCTTACTGCTGTGTGCCTCCTGGTTTTCCCTTGACTTGCTGAGCCACCTGGTCTGCTTCTCTTAGACCCCGCCCATGCCTCTGGTTCCATTCCCACTCCCTCACCTTTCAACATAGTGACAGGAGGTTCTTAGAATGAGCTGAGGGGCCTAGGTGATGATTTCACTGCTGGGGGTTTCCAATGCAGCTGGCAAAGCCCTGGATCACTGCTGGCTCCAGGCCCCCCACCCCTGCTTCAGCAGGGGTGCTCCGACTCCAACTGAGTTGTATATAGGCTCTGGCAAGATTGCATAAGAAAGGTGCTATTCAACTGGAGCGTTGAATGGGAACTCTGCTGGTACCTGCTCTGGCTAAGGCCCCAGAGCTAAGGGGTCAGGCCCTCAGTCCCCCTACCACCTTACAAAGGGAGAACCTAGATCCTCCCAGGTCAAGGTGCAGGACCAACTGGCCCTGCTCCCAGCACTGGACAGGGATTTGTTGCGAGTAGGGCAGTGCTTCCTAACCCTGGTTGCCTTCTACAGTCCCCAACTTCAACAAAATACAATGTGGGGTCAGCACATTGGTATTTCTGAATAAGCTTTTCATGCTCTCTAATGAGCAGCTGAAGTGGAGAATCCCCAGGTTAGGAGCCATCGCCCCAGGGAAAAGCTGTGGCTTTCACCTCTCTGCACTTCCCTTTGCAGGGTGGGGTGCTCCTGCCCCTACCCAGCCCAACGAGGGGCCTCCACGCCCAGGAGAAGGGGAGCCGACCTATACCAACGCAGAGGCATTGGTGATCTGCCTTTGTGCCCTGTTGCAGAAGAGGGGAGGATGGATGAGGGTAGCAGGGGGGCAGCCAGCCTCTCCCTGCCAGGTAGGGCACAGAGGAGTGTGTGCCAAATGGGCACCAATGCAGGCAGCCTAGCTTGAGCCATCTGGCTAGGACCCTGTCTCCAAGGCCTGACTATTGGAGACCTTACAGCACCAGGTGGGAAGGGTCCTATGCCACGTCTGGATGCCTGAAGGACCAAGGACATCACCCAGGAGGATCAGAACCTCCCCACGCAGTAGAGACTGCCCCCTTTTCTACTCCCTACTTCTTGCCCCACAACTGAAGGTGGAGGCCTGGAGGAGCCAGAGAAGAGCAGAGACCCTGTGCTCCCCATTGTGGGTCCTTTAGACCATGGATCAAACCTGAAATAGAGAAATGGAGGATGAGAGAATGTGGACACTACCCTGGATAGCAGATTGAAGGTTTAAACTGAAACAGACTAGGTAGGCTTTTCAGCAGATGGAAGTGACCAAGGACTGCCTGAGATGGTACGAAGGAATGGAAGGAGAGGCTCAATGGAGAGGTCTGAGGCAGTGATTGGAGGAAGGGTAAAGCTGGTCATGTTTGTATTCCATCAAATTAGGACGGTCCAATAAATAGTTTTAAGTTGGCGGTCCAGTAAGATCTCATTTAAAGAAAGGATAACATGACTGAAAAGTTTGAAAACCACTAACCTAGTCTACTGCCTTCAATCTACAAGGAAATCTATTCTCAGAGAGGTTAAGTGACTTACCCAAGGTCACACAGCTAACAGGTATCAAAAGAGCATGCACTCCAGAATTAGAAAACCTGAGTTGTTATCACATTGTTAGGTCTTTCATCTTTTCCTTAGAGCCCCTTGAGCGCTGTGACTGGTTCACACTCCTCTTTACACATCTGCAGTACTTGTATGTTCAAGTGTCTGCAGTGAGCTAGCACTGGCCACAGGGATTTAGAGGCCTCAAAGCACTGCCTGGGTCATCTAGCAGGGTAGAAGGGCAAAGTTGGCAGGGATGAGCCTGGGAGCCTGGGTTTGGGCTTTTTCTTTGGACTCAATCAAGCCAACCTCTGACTTGGGTATAAAGGTTGGGAGGCGGATTATTAATGCAGAAGGTAAAGCCTCTTTCCACCCCCTACCTCTCCATCTGGCTGCACTGCTCTCCTTCATCCTGGGCCAGAGTGTTCCCTGCACCTGCCATGGGGTGTCAGAGAAGACCCTCTGCCACGTTTGCCTCTCAGCCTCTACCCTCCTAGGACTGGTTTTACTAGGCACCGTCCACATATTCTTCCTATACTTACATTCTCTTAACATTTCTGAACTGTCTCTGAAAAAACAAACAAACAAAAAAAAAAGGCAGATTTTTCCAGGACTGCCTCCCAACTTAATCTCAACCTTTCTTCTGCTTCCTCCTAATGAGTGCCTGACCCACATCCCCTAGCAGGTACGTACAGAGGACCTGGCCTGTGTGATCAAAAGTTAAACGGCCAGGTTACGGGTTTTAGAAAATGGGAGTTGCCAATGTATGCAAACATTTCTTCTGTGCCCTTGACTATTCATGTGGAATAGACTGCCCTGAAGGCCAAGGCTGAGAAGGAGTTGAGGGTGAGGGTGAGGGGTAGAAGTGTCTGGCGGCTGCTGGCTGCCTCCCAGGCTCAGAGCTGGCGGCCCTGCTCTTCTGGGCTAAGGAAGGAGCCACAGATGAGAAAGATGGGGCATGGTTTTGGCCAGAGGGACCTTCCTTTCCCAGGCTCCAGGAGGAAATCTTCGTGCTGTCTTCTAAAAGGAAGTTGGGGAAGGGAGGGAACTGTCGTCCTGCTGCTGCCCCCCAAAACCGTGCCATACTTTCATATGGAGATTCTGCCTTGCCCTACAGGGGAGGGGCTGTGGCCCAGAGCCGGCTACTTGTGTGGCTGTAGGGAGAGGCAGGTTCTGCCGAAGGGCCCTGGAGAGATGGTCTAAGAGTCCCTTCTGTCCTCTGTGTTGTAAGGTGGAAAGCCTGCTGCTTCAGCCCTTAGATCACAAGGAAGATGCACAGATTATAGCTACAGTGCTGAGGGTGCCTAGCCTGGAGACACCACCCACCGGAGCTGGGGGCACTCAAAGAGGGGGACTGGAGGAAATTCTAGGTGTCAGGCTGGAGCAGCTGGGAGTCTAGACTTTAAGTGGAGGTGACAGCCTGCAGGAGAATGGGCCAAGGTGGGGGCTGGGATATAGGAGGGTGCTGCCTGTAGCATGGAGGTTTGGGGAACAGGTGGGTGAAGCAGGGGCATCTGAGAGGAGGGCGTGTGAGCCGGCTGCTGGGATCATGGGGTCAGAGGAGGGCAGGGGGCAGGCAGCATTGGCTGCTGGTAGGGGACATCAGGGGAGGAAAGGCACAGGCAGGAGAGGCTTTTAGGATGTCTGAGGATTGCAGTCAAACAGGGAGAGGCCCGGGTTCCTGACGGGCAGGAAATGGCCGCCTTTTCAGGGTCTTTTCAGCTTGACTTTTTAGCATATTGCCTTCCTAGGAAGCTGGCTTGGGCAGGGGAAGTAGGCAGAGCCTTGAGGGTCTTCTCCACAAGGAGGCTCAAGAATAGGAGAAGAAGGGGGACAAGATGGGTGCATTTCTGCTCTGGACTAAAGGAGATGGAGGTGTGCTTCCATGCCCGGACGGGGATGTAGAAGACAGCAGACAGACAACCAAGACTCCAGTCCCCGGGAGAAAAATAACCTGGCCTGTGACCCCAGGGTGTTTTGGAGTTTCTAGAAGATGCTCAGTGAGCCCAGATGTATTAACAAGCAAGGAAATGCAAGTGAGGGGGCTTGTCCCTAAAGGAGATACTGATAAGTGAGAACCAGGGTGTGAGGGTGCACCCAGGAAGAGGCCATTCCTCCTTGTGGTGCGATCGTCTTGCCTGCTGATCTCATGGCAGGGACTCAGCCCAGCGTGTATACGTAGGCGTATCTAGGGAGAGATGCTCCAGGAAGGCTGGTTTGGGAGGGCTCTGGCAATGGGTGTTAGAATTCACATGGAGGATGCTTCATTTAAGAAGATGAAGGACTGTAGTGAGGAACAGACAAAAAATGAAGACTGGAAATAATCTACTAGGTGCCACATGTTCTACCTACATTGTCTCTTCCGATCCTCACAGTCTGAGGCAGGTATCATCCCTATCCCTATTTTACAGATTCGGAAAAGTGGGGTCAGGGAGGAGTAACTTGTTCAGCCACACATCTAGTGAGTGAGGAGTT